CGTCTAAATAGGGCACGATGGGACCTTCACTATCCTTGATCCCCCAAAACTCTACATCCGATCTGACGATCCGCCCCTCGAAACAACGGAGTAGCTCACGATCGAGACCCTCCAGAAAGTCCACGGCCAACGGGCGCGAATGGACACCGGGCGGAACAAAAAAAAACAACTTTGGCTTAAACGGCACCACGGGTGACTCTTCCGAGCAGCAACCTGCTCGGGCATGCAGAAGCTCGTCGGCAGCTCCATGCGGTTGCGGCACGGGCCCAATGGGCGCACTCCCCCTCGCGGCCACCATTGGCATATCCAAGACCGGAGAACGACTCTCGGCGAGCACCTCGGAGACAACGTCATCGCGCCCGGCAGGCCCGTTCAGCGACGCCACGGCGTGGCCCACTCGCAGAGCAGCGCGACGTTCTCGCCCAGCACGCGGTCGAGTCCCTCGCGAAAGGCGCCCCCCAACGATTTCGGGAACAGCCACTAGGGGAAGTGGAAGGAGCTCCACCGGTCCCTGCAGCATGTCAAAAATTTTGGCGGCGACCCGCCTCAGGCGCAAGCCTGCTCGCCTCGGGCCGCGTTCGCCCCCCCCCCCCCGCCCCCGAAGACTTGGGCGAAGGGGGGGCTGCTGCCCGCGTTTTCCTCGGAGGCGGAAGATCCTTCTTTGGCCCCCGCGCCTCCTTTTCATTCAGCCTGGCCGCATCGATCGCGGCCTGGCCCTTCGCTCTCTTCGCGATGTGGGCTGACAGCGGTGGCGCCATACCCAGGGCGCGTTGCTGAACGCCCATCCAAAACTCAACGCCATCGAACTTCGGATCACCAGGGCCCCTCGAGTTGGCGTCGAGGAGCAGCTGCCACCGCCTGGACAAAGCTTCGAAACAAGACAACGAAGGAACATTGAATTGATCGTACGATCCAGCATACTCGAAGGTCCTACAGATCACTTGCAGCCCGTCGGCCGTCCGATCCGCAGGAGCAATCTTTGACTCGGTCAGGAAACAATGATACCATTGCATCGGCGACCCACCAACCCGTTCAACATGCTTCAGCAACCATTGGGTAGCACGCGGGCCTTCGATAGGCCAGTCTTCCTAGAAATTCTCCAAAGAGGAAGCTGCCACACGTCGCCACGGTCGCCAACGTTCACCCTGCTCATCATACAGAACAGACGAGGTACAATCGTCGTCCTCTTCTCCGTCCTCAGCGGACTTGGGAGCTTCACTGCCAACACCCCGCGGCGTGGCCGAAATCCCTGGCCAACTCTTGAATGGCGGGCCGTCGCACCTCAGCGTAGCTACCCAGGGCATCCTCCTGAAAATGTTCAACGAACACCACCACCCCGATGCCTCCAGAGGCGCCCAGGCGGTACAATCCCGTGAGACCGACCACCGCCTCCAAATTCCCACCACTAGCTTTCTGGCCCAAGGAAAGGCTCGGCGCCCCGCCGGCGACCAACCAGTTCATACCAGGCTCAGCGCCCACTCGAGGTGCTCCAGCGGCTGCTCCAGCCATAGGCGCACCCAATAGATCACCCAATGGGAACTCGGCACCACCCCAGTCATACCAGCCTCGTACGTCAGCGGGCTCAACCAGGGCGCCAGCTCCCTCCGCGTGAAGCCGCTCAGCCTCAGCACGCCCTTCTCGGATGGCCGTCCGAACAGCCTCCACGCCCAGGTTGCCTCGAAAGCGGTAGGCAGGGTGAGCAAGATGGGCGGGAAGACGACCTCCCTTCCGCACAGCATATACCTCCTTGGCGTCCTCATCCTCGAGCACTTCGTCATAGATGTCACCGTCTGGGGTCAGGACGACCCAGTGTTTAGTGGAGAGGCCAGAGAAGGACGCTTTCGTTAGCTAGGTCCTCGTCGTACTTGACTAGAAGACGCGTCCCACCACCACGCCTCTGACCCTACTCTCGGTCCGCGAGCGGCCAACATCTTGCTGTCCACGACCAGTAGCCCACTGACCAATCAGAGTGATAGCCGATCCAACCACTGCACCCCCCAGCACTCCGTCGACACGAACTCCCGGGGCCACCACAATGCAGCTCACACGCTGGGCACGGAGGTGGACGAGGGCACCCCGCCTGTCCCGCGATGGCGGCCAGTGAGCTGTGACCGAGGGCCCGAACAAACTTTTGGAGCCCGACGTTCCCAAGGAGGGCGAGAAACATGCAAACCCAGCCGAATGCTCGAGCAAAGGAACGGCTATTGAGAAATGGATGTACGCAAAACCGTTCACATTGTCATTAAAGTGCCCGCACAGCCATCGATGCTCCGTAAGTGTTTGAATGATGTTCGTGGTTGCTCCTTTTCGGCCTTCCGACGGCCCAAGACGGCCTCAGAGGCCCCCAAAATCGTCCCCAGAGCGCCCAAGAGGCCTCCAAGACCCCAAGAGGGCCTAAAGACGACCCAAGCGGCCTCTGAGACGCTCAAGATGGCCTCCAAGACGGCCCTGGAGCACCCCAAGAGGGCGCCAAGTCGGCCCAGAGAGGCCCTCAAGACGACTTCCGACGGCGTCAGACGAGCCAGGAGCCCACCAAGACGGCCCATGGCCCCAAGATCGCCCCAAGATCGCCCCAAGATCGCCCATGAGGCCTCCAGGATGGCACCAGAACGGCCCAAGAGGCCCCCAAGACGGCCCCAAGAGGGCCCCAAGATTGCTCGTGAGGCTTCCAAGACACCCAAGATGGCCTCCAAGACGGACCTGGAGCACCCCAAGAGGGCCCCAAGTCGGCCCAGAGAGGCCCTCAAAACGACCTCCGACGGCGTCAGACGGGCCAGGAGCCCACCAAGACGGCCAAAGACGCCCCCGAGAAGCCCCCACAAGCCCCCAAGAGGCCCAAGGAGGCCCCCAAGATGCCTCCAAGAGACTCCCAGGACGCTCCCAGGAGGCCCCAAGAGTGTCCCCAGAGGCTCCCAAGATGTATATGCATATATGGGTATACCTAGATTTACATGCATACACAAATACGAGAACCACGCGCGCTTCGCGCACTTAAGTTCTAGCAAGTTCTGGTTGTAGTCTAAAGTGTTCGGCGTCGGAGGGCACATAGTGTCAAACGGATCGTGCAGCTCAGGGAGCTCCACCGACGGCCTCAGATACAGGCTTGGCTTAAGAGTTCACCCGCCAATGCTCGTGCACCCCCCAAAGGGATCGCGCCCCACAGGGACCTCCCCCTATGTCCCCAGAGACAAAGTTCGCATAGTGGCACGCCCCTGACGCGGGTCCTGCCCAGCTAATAATTGCATGTGCGGCACCAAAGGGGAGCTTCATAGCGTCGCCTGGCTTACTTTCCACGGACGGTCCCAGAGGCAAAGTTCGCATGCCGCCCCCCACCTACTTCGGCACACCTCTCGTACGGGTCGTGGCCCACAGGGATCTCCACCCATGGCCCCAGAGGCAGGGTTCGCATTACGCCCCCCCCGCCCACTGCGGCACACCCCACCACGCAGATCGCACACAGAAGGAACACCACCGAAAGACCCAAAAATAAGGTTCGCACAGCGCCCCCCTCCCCATGCCGGCACACCCGTCACGCGAATCATGCCCCAGAAGGAACTCCAACTATGGCACCAATGGGCAGCTTCGCATGACGTCCCCCCGCCCACTTCGGAGCATGCCCCGCACGGGCCGTGCCCAGGGGAGGTCGACCTGCGACCTCCGTGGGCGGCCCGCTCGCGGCATCCGAGTTATTCGGCACGCCCTTCACGCGGTCCGTGCCCCACAAGGAGCTCCGCGAACCCGCGCACGGGTGCTCCGCAGCAGCCCCACTTCCGCAATGCCCCGCGGCGCGCAGTGCACGAAGAGAGACAAGCGCCCCGCGCTACACATGACTGCATAGAGGGATGGGTCCGTCGCCAAGGGAATTGCTGGCTTGTCTATAGCCTTCGGCCCATGTGGCTACCGTGCCTGAGTTCTGGGCCAGGGGATTCTCGGATACCTGTCTGTTGGCGTGCTTCTCGGGCGCCTCGTGGAGCGGCCTCTTGGGGGGTTCGTGGGGCCTCTTTTTCAGCCCCTCGGGGTCCTCTTGGGGGTCTGCCACTTGGAGTCGAGGGCTCGAAATGTCAGTTTGAAATCCCCCTCTTGGCTCTCTCTTGAGGCCCCTGTTGGGCCGTCTTGGGCGCCTCTTGGACCGTCTTAGGGCTCTCTTGGGCCGTCCTGGGGCCCTCTTGCCTCTTGGGCCGAATCTTGGGGTGATCGTTCGGGCCTCTAAGCCGTTTGGACGCTGTTCAGACCCAACATGCGCATCTGCTGATATGCGTGTTGGCCGCAAAGATGGGACAACTTTTGCCTCCTGGGGCTCTCCCGGGGCGCAGGAGCCTTCTTGGGACGTCTTCGGAGCCTCTTGAGCCGTCTTGACACAATGTTCGGGCGTCTTCGGCCCTGTCAGGCTGCTCTGGTCGCTTTGTTGGTGGCCTCCGGAGCTGCTTTGAACGGCGAGGGGGAGGCGCGGGAGGCCCTGGAAATTGTCAAACTGTCTCGCAAGCCAAAATAAGGGGGAGGACCGGGGGGGGGGGAAATTCCGTGAGGGTGTCCTGGCCCTGGCCCCAGCCCCCCGGTACCCTGGCATGATATGTACAACCACGCGCGAGCTTCGCGCACGCTTAGGTTCTGGTCGGTCACAAGCAATCGGGCCAGCGGATGCCGGCTGTTGTGGAGTCCTCTTGGGACTGTCTTGCAGCCTCTTGGGGCCACGTTAGGTCCCCTTGGGCATTCCTATGCCGTCTTGGAGCCTTCTTGGGACATCTCTGGGCGCCCTTGAGCCGTCCTGGGGCCATCCTGGCCCTTCTTGGGCTCCAGTGGCGGCTATCTTGCGGTTGCCCTGGGCCGGCTTGGGACCCGTCTTTGGTCCTCTTCGGGCGCTACTTGGGACATATTGGGGGCTGGGTGCCCTTGGGGAGCCTGTGATTGGTGTATGGGTGGGGGGGGCCTTCGGGGATCGTTGAGTCCTGGGGCTTGGTCTTGGGGGTCTGGGGGCCGTCTGCGGGGCGCCTCTGGGGGAGTACTGCGCAAGCCGAAGAGCGCCAGCACCAACGCTTCGAACATCGCGATCCCGAAGCTGGCAAACAAAAAAGGCGCGAGAGCGGGGAAGACGGCAGAAGGACGGAGAGGAGGGTTGAGGAACGGGAAGGCGGATGCCGCCGCGAGCGAGCATCTAGTGCTGGAACCTGGCTCGCTGGTGGCCCTGCTCGTGCTCGAGCCGGCCAAAAAAAAATGCTGGGCGGCGCCACGTACGAACATCTTGCGCCGAAGTCAGCCGCAGAGAGGCTCGCCGGCGCCCTTGCCCATGTCAGAAGCGGCCCAAAAAGTGTCCCGGATCGCTCCTTGGAGAGCTGCAAAGGCCTTTCGATTAGAAGCCGCTACGCCAGCTCCTGTCCAAGGCTCCCGGGCACTGCTTGGCTGTGCAGGGGGGGGGGCTCGGCCCTCCGTGCTCGAGTCGCAGGGCCGCATCAGCACGGGACGTGCCCGACCTCGCCCGGGCTGCCGAGACCCGATCGGCCCGTGGCAGGGCCGCGCCGTGCCGGCCACCCCTCGCGCCACGACCACGCCCGTGCTGCCCACCTCCTCGCTGCTCCTCCCCTCGAGGGGCAGCGGAAGGTGGGGACGGGCACGGGGGGGGGGGGATGCGTCGACCTGGGATCGGCGACACGTCGCCGAGGGATCGGCACTGGGCCCCCGGATAGTGAGTCCGCACGGCTCCTGGGCGGGTGGAGGCTATCGGGCTGCTCTCGGCGATCCATGGGCGATCGGGGGCAGATGCATCCCCCCCTGTGCATGTCTCCCCCTATCGCTGCTCCTGGCCACTTTCTCTGGGCACCTGCTGGCAGAGCGGTTCCCTCCTTCTCCTCGAGAGCGCATGGCTTTTGCACAGCGGCACTTGGGGCATGCCAAAAAAACTCAGCTATGCACTACTGGCTCACGCGCCTCGACATATGACCGAGCTCTGAATCTGGACCCGGCCCGTGGTGGCGAGGCCGGCGCAACTGGCGTGGCCTCTTTGATCTCAGAGACAGTCCGAGACGAGGACTTGCCTTTCAGCTTCCGGCGCAAAGCCACCACCGCTGCCCCGATCGCACCTCTCAAGGCCCCGGACCAGTCCAGGCCTGCCCCAAGCAAACTTGCACTTGCAGGAACACTGTCAGGGCCGCGCGAAGCAACCCGCTTCGCGGGCGTCCCCACCACGAACTCCGGGCCGCCCAACTCTGCGCCGACAGGGCGCGAAGCGATTGGCTCCGCGGACGCCCCACCCACGCGCTGCAGGCCGTTCGAGCTCTCGGGATGTGGTGTGCGGGCCCTCACGATGCCAACCTTGCGAGAGTCCGTGGCACATGACGTTGGAGATTCACTCCGACCAGTGGCGCCGCGTCACCCACCAGTATCGGGTCTTGGCGCCAGGATTCATCGATCGCTGGCACTGCCATCGGAGAGCAAAGCCTGCGGGAGATATTGCAGGAGCGGAGCGCGGGCGGGGTGGCGAGACAAGCCAAACAGTTAACTGATGAATTAGGCTTGCACCACAATTGCTATGGAATGTTCCTAGTCTTTTTCGCAATTGGGTCGTCGTGTTTAGTCCGCAGCGCCGCGCGTCTCCCTACTCATCCTCCTCCAGGGCCTCCGCCTCCTCCTCCTCGTCCTCCTCCTGCTCCATCCATTTTCCGTATGAACAAATCGTCCCTGTCGCACCCCCAGACGTGTCGGCAGGGCTGGTCATGCGATTCGCCTGAGACTTCCCAACCATAGACAATCCTGTAATTTGAAATTTGCAACAGCTTCACGGATGGAGGGCGGGCCGTTTCAAAAATATAGTTCTCGCTTTAGTGCTGCGCATATACGCACTAAAATTTTACAACAATTTCGCGGCTGGAGGACGGGCCGTTTTCAAGATGTGGTTCTCGCCTCCGCGCCGCGCGCACTCGTCATAAAAAACCACCGCAATTGCACGGATGGAAGGCGGCCCATTGTCAAGACGTGGCTCTCGCCTCCGCGCCGCGAACGTTCGTTTGAAAAGATGCACCAGTTTCGTGGATGGAGGGCGGGCCGGCTCCACAACGTTAGTCTCGCCATGGCGCCGCGCACATTCGTCTTTAAAGACTGTAACAGCTTCGTCGATGGAGGACGAGTCGTTTCCAAAGTGTGGCTCTCGCCTCAGAACCGCGCGCATTCGTATGAAAAATCTGCAGCAGTTCCTTGGATGCAGAATGCCCCGTTTCAACAAATGAAGCGTTCGCACTATCGCCGCGCACGTTCGTCTTGAAAGATCGCAGCGGTTCGAAGGATTCGGATGGTTGAAATCCAAGGAATGGTGTCCTGGCACGATTTGGGACTGTCCAGACGCAACCATGACGTTGCTTCGCTGTCTTGTAGTCTCAGGCATGGTGTTGTGGCACGAGTGATGATTGTCAGGCCACAGCGGTCACGTTGATTCGCGGCGCTGAAATCCCAGGAACCGTTGTTTGGTATGATGTGCTATTCTTCTGTTGTTTTCAAATGGGGAGCTGCCCGTAATGAGAGTCATTTCTTGTAGGAACATGTGAAGAGGGAACTTGAAAGGAGGGTTTATTGCAACATTGCAACACTGTTGGTGCGTTCGGGATTGACATGAATCCTCCTCCTCCGACGACGGTGCTCGCGTCACGGCAGAAGAGTGTGGGCACAGGGGACACGCGGTCGCGGTGCGGGCCCGCAGCGACAAGGGCGATCATCAGCTACACATGCGGTGTCAAGGCTACTTGGCCGATTTCGGAAACCCTGAACCCAAAGAGCATGGAATGCCCTGGGAGGTTGATGTTTGTTTCCGCCAGCTCCCGCCAACCCTCCTTTTTTGGAACGCGACTCCCATCCCCAAGGAAGTTTCGCGGGGGCGACTACAAACAACCGCTTTAAAGCGCGGCGAACCGAGAAATCGATGGTTCCCTGAGGGAGGGAAGGCGCGAGGCGGGCAGGCAGCTGTGCGTCAGCCCCATTCCCGCGCACCCCAGCCTCTGCGGGGTGGCACTGCGGGGCGGCCCCCCCCCCCCAGGTGGAGAGAGGCGCGCAGCCCCCACGAGGCGGCCCAAAACTGACCTCACGAGACGGGACCCCCACGCCACGAAAAAAAATACTACGCGGGGTCTCGAGGTCCAAAACTGAAGTACTTAGCGAGCGTCGCTTGTCCAGGAGGAGGTCTCGGGAGAGGAGGGGTCGGGCGAGGAGGGAAGGAACGGGGCGCCGACAATTTCTGTACTCTGCCAGCCCCGCTCACTTCTGCTTCCGTTTCCTCTTCTCTCCCTTCTATTTGCTTGGGCCGCCCCTGGAATCTGGCCATTCCGCCAGCTTCGCGAACCTGACCCCCATTACTTTGTCGCGCTATGCGGGCGCCCGCAGCTGCGAGCGCGCCGTGCCCGCGGGACACCGCCACGTCCAGCTTGCACTGCGGGTAGCGATGAAGCGCGAGAATCCCCTTGACCCCTTCTTTGTCCACGCCCACGCCCTCGTCGCCCTTCGGCTGCCCCATCTTCGCCCTGAAGCACCATGCGGCTACGAACTTGGCCGTTTGGTCCTGTGCCTTCTTGCCCGCGCTGGCCTGCACTTCCAAAGCTTCCTTGGCCTCCGTTTGGCCCAGGTCCTGCTCGGTCGCCTCCGCCACCTGCTCGTTCTTGCCCCCAACCGCCCCCGCGATGCGGATGGCGACCGTCTTCGCCAAACCGTCTGGGCGCGCTCCCAGTGGGTTGCCAGAGTAGGCGATATCCTCCTCCATGGTCTTCTCCTTGGCCTTGCAGCCCTCGCCCTCGCAGTGCTTGAATGCTCGGTCCAGCGTCAACTCCAGCTTGCTCATCGGCATGGTCATCATCATGTAGTTGTCGTTGTCGTCGCGGTGGCCTGCCCCCACCTTGTCTTCGCGCTGCAGCGTCGGCCGCGCCCGCGTCTTGCCGGCGGATGCGCTACGTCGCCCTCGGCCTTGCCCATGGTCTTGCCCTCGCCCGCGTCGCCCACGGCCGCCGACAACTCCTCGCGGCCGCTGCGCGCCGCCTGCACCTTGCCCATCGGCTTGAGCATCTGGGCCAGCCGCTGCGGCTCTGTGCCGGGATTGCGCTGACTCGGGGCCTGGCGCTGCTACCGGTGCACTTCGAGCCTCAACGCCTGCGGCACGGGCAGTGCATCGGCCATGATTGATGTGTCTGACCAGTGCATCTTGCCTTGCGAAATGTTTTGCAAAGTAGGGGTATCGCTTCTGCTTCAAGTCATCATCACTAACACCCATCGCCGTCGGATTTGCGCATACTTGATGAGCCGCAAGTGCGCGGCGGGCAAGCCCCACCCCACCTTTGCACGCACACCGGTCCAGCCAGATATCCGCAGGAGGTTCCACAGCAGAGGCAGAAGCGGCGAAAGTGATCACGCGGCGGAAGCTCCGCGGTTCTACGAAGGTCAGCCATTTCAGCCGCGGCTCAGCCAGCTCAGGAAAATCTCCACGCAGTAGAAGATGCCGTCGTGCTTCGAGCTGCTCACGGGCCTCGAAGGACAGCCAAAGGTGTCGCAGGTCCTCTTTCAGAAGGGCCAGCGCGCCCGACGGCCCCATCGGCGTCGCATCCTCAAAAGAGAGTCCGCCAAAGATGGCGGCGCGCACTGCACGGGTCGGGTCGCGCGATTCCGCTGCGGACTCACGAGAGACTGGCCACAGCACTTGACGCCACCATTTGAGCCGCCCCCTCAGCAGCGTGCTCTCCACGGTGGGAACACGGGCCGTCTTCCTGATTTCGTGGTTAGTCTTCTTGAGTAGGTGAGCTGGTGAGTGGAGTAGCCCTCGAACTTTTCGAACGTGCCATGCTTCGAGTCGCGCCAGCTCCCGCATTGATACGCCCGCCACCTCCAGGCAGCATAGGCCGACTGAGCACAGCAGGGACTTCCACAATCTGATCTTCAGCGCGGGGCTGAACCCTCCTTCGAAAGCACAGCGCAGTAGTCGAGCATGGGCCGTGCGCGCTGCCTTGATCCCGTGAGTCGCCCCAGTCTGATCGCTGCCAGTGGCAGCCAGCTGCGCGCCAATGTACTTGACCGTCGGCTGAGGGTTGATGGGGAAGCAGTCATCGCCTTGCCGCGTGACGACACCTGTCGCGCGCTCCCCGGCGCGTTTCTCCCTCTTCTTGCTGCCCACCCCCGACGGCATCGAAAGAAGCTCGGTGCCCCCCCCATTCACTTGCACGCCGCCGCGTTCGATCTCGCCGCTGACGACTTCCAAGAGATTGGAGGCGTCGTCAAACTCGTCAATTTTCGTAAACGCAAGCAGGTCATCTAGGAATTTCAGGCGGGCCATGTCCACATTCTCGCAGGTGTCCTCCTCCAGTCCGCCACTGTTCCTGAGGCGCTCGAGCGCGGGGTCGAAGTGCACCTCGATACACGAGCGCCCCATCACTGATGGCATTTTCGCCAGCTGCGCCACCAACCTGCGACGCGCCGCCGCAGAGAGAGCGGAACTTTCAACTCCTCCTTGACGGGCTCCACGTCTTACCCATATCCTGTCCGTCGGCGCGCGCGTCTTCGCGTCTCCGAGCAGGTGACGCACGCCGTCATGGTGCTCCTCTACGGTCACCCCGGCGCCCCAGCGCACCTGGAAATCGCCCAGGCCCGCCCACCTGTCTTGCTGGTTCACCATGTCTCGAGATCGGTGAGCAGCGCCAGTAACATGGGCGGTGGCAAGGAGGATCGGCCACGGAGCCTCGCACGGCGCGCTCGTTGGTGTCGGGCAATGACCTCAGACGCCACCACGACCGCATCGCGCGCACCCCGCCCCGGCACGGCACTCAACTGCGCCAGAGAAACTCTGCGTGCAATATCTCTCAATGCGCCCAGCGTGGTGACCCTGGCGAAAGCCTTGATCACATGGCCGATCAAGCTGATGGCCCTGTAGCCGCGCCTCGCGGAGCTGCCAGGAGGGCCGTCTCACCGCCCTTGAACCGTCGAGGTGCGGCGCCAAGGGCCTGGGCCGAGTTGAACTGAAGCAGCGGAGCCGCATGCTGGTCGATCCCGATCCCCCACGTTTCAGCCGCCGCACCATCTGGGGGGCCCAACAGTGTCCACCGCAAGGTCGGGCCGCCCTTCATGTTCGGCAAGTCCACAATGCTCTGCTTCACGTCGCGCATGTCGTAGGGGCGAATCCTGTCATCACCCCTGCCTGCTGCACCTGCGCGGGGCGGGTCGTCATCGAGCTGCATTGCTTGGCCGCCGCACAGCTCACATATATTTTGGATACGCACTCGCCTGTCTCGCCCCATGTCGAAGCACGGCAACCCCGTTGCTCGATCCTTCACTATCGTCGTCGGGGCTGGCGGTTCGGGTGCTAATTTCCGAAGAATGGCGCGGAGCTCCCTCAAGCTGTTCTGGCCAGCGGCGAATTGAGCAAATTCGGAAAATGCTGCAGAGCGCTGGCGCTTTTCGCTCCTGATCGTTTCCGTAGCTGCCTATGATGCTTCGTTGAACTTTGTCTGAATGAAGTTGCGCAGCCATCGAGCTTCCTCTGGTAGCGCGGCTAACTGCCGCTGCCAATAC